TATACGTATATATATATATAAAAATATATATATGCGTATACATGTCAACGATCTGTGTGGTCAGCGTTTGCATGGCAATTTTTTCAGGTATTGTAGCGAACAAATTTCAATCGAAGCCCAAACGAATAAGCGACTATATTCCTCTCTTCCTCTATCTCCTCCTCTGATTATATAGATATCTGTAGTTATTACATAAGTACTCAGCTCTTAACTATAAGTATCATTCGGGTTCCTTAACTCCCTCCCTCCGGCCTCCCACCTCCTGCTTACTGCTCCCTCTTTATCCATATGTATGTATGTATGTATGTGGGTAGGTACACATGTATATTTTAAGCTTTGGTCTAGTTATCGTTTAATATTTCAAATGTTCACATTATTCGACAAATTATCATTAAATAAAAAGTTCGTTTTTATTATTATTACTAGTATTATTAATATTATTATTATTCCCTTAGCGTAGCGCTCGGCTATATCGAAACATCCTCACTAGATCCTCATTTACCCTCATTATATGTACATTCTTCATGTGTGTTTGCGTGTGTGTGTTTCATTTTTGCTATTTGCTGTTTCAGGTAATTTCAGGATACTACGCCATACTCCCCACACTCCATATGGCTTCTCAGTGTTAACTATCCGTACATACAACAAACAAATAAATATTACATGCTAAGTTTTGGGCGGTTTTCAACCGATCATCGTAGTTAATTTCATCTTAACATATAATTAAACTAAGCTATTGCTCCTCCTCCTCCTTCTACTCCTCCTACTGCTGTTCCTGCTTTTTCTATAGTTGGCACAAATGTTTTTTTTTTTTTAGTGAATTATGCCTATGCTCGATTGAATTTAGTTTAACATTAACATTGAACCCCACGATCGGGGCCTGTGAGGCGCATTAGCATTTGCATATTTAATTAGAATACTTGGGTATTTTCTTTCATTTCTTTCTATTCTTTTGCATTCGCATTTTTTATGTATAAGCTGCTACTGCCAGTGGGCCGGGTTCAAGGCACAGCACAAGCAAAACATCTAACTTCAAATACGTATGTACAGTTGCCACGGCCCTGTTTTCCGCATATACTGATCGTTCGCTTAGAGTCGCAGCAGTGATATACTAAGTCCGGCTAGCATCGCAATGGGCAGCAATTGCTTCGTGCACGCCGCATTCGTCTTTGAGCTGGTTCCGACTCCAAAGCCCGCACGTACCAGATCCTCCGGCGGCACTGCGCCGTCATCGATTTCTGTGGATTCTGTGTGGGACAAAGATCGATATTATTTAGAATAGATGATATATATCTCTCATGGATTACCCTCTTGTTCCTTGATCAGTATGTCGTGCTCAGGCGAGAAGTGGGACCAGCCCGCCGTATTCTTGGTCTTGATGCGCGCATGCCACAGACCGGGCGTCAGTTCCATCTGGTGCGTGATCTTCCAGATGCCATTGTCCTTGTCGTGACGCTGTGTGTGTATGATGGAGACGGTGCTCCACGTATACGACTGCAAGTGGATGTGATTAATGAGGAAGCTATAGAAACTACATGCAGACTAGGGCTAATAATATCCTTATCAGACTTCCTTTAGTCAGTTGAGGCATGCATAGACGAATTATTTATCATTATTGAAAATCAATTTCACATAGTCTCATAGAAGACCAAATTGCGTATGCTCCATGAAACTTTGCGAAATTGATAGAGTTTTCATATATTTCATTTAAGTGTAGCCATAGATCTCTAAAAGCTGAAGACCCACCATGGAGAGCTTGTAGTCCAGCATGGCCTCGGACAGGGGCTGCAGACTGCGGACGAGCCAGTGCATGGTGACCTCGTTGCCATTGATGGAGCTGTTCTCGAACTGGGGCGTCTCGGGGCTGTAGCTCAGCTGGATGCGCACCTCGTTGGAGCCGATGGCATTCTCGACATGGCACAGATACTCGCCCAGATCGCTGGCCTCCACGTGCTTGATGATGAGCGTGGTGCGATTGTGCTCCTTGTGCAGCGAGTTCTTAATCGAGTACTTCTCGGACAGGGACAGCGTCTTGCCGTCCTTGATGAAGAAGCTGATGGCAATGGGACTGGCGCGATAGTCGCAGTAGAGCTCCGCGGTGTCGCCCTCGATGGTGTTGACGTGATGGCGATGCGTGGACACCTTGGGGCTGTACTGCACATCGACGGTGACCATGCCGTGTGGAGGATCGGCGCTGCCATCGTCGCCGAGGCACTGATAGACGCCGGCGTTCTCCTCGTCCACATTGTCCAGCACGACGACGCCCTCGGCTGTCTCCTTCTCCGAGGTGTGCAGTCGCTGGCCCTGCAGAGACAGAGTGGGAGAGTGGGGAAGAGAGAAAAAGAGAGAGAGTTTAGCTTGGGGACTGATATAGTTTTCACTGCACTCATTCGTTCATACATTGAAGGACCACTTAATGTCCGTCTTGGTGGGCAGGAACGTTTGGCAGACGAGCCTGTGGTGGTCGCCTTGCTTGAACGTCTGCGATCGATCCGTGACATCGCGACCGTCGCAGAGGATCGACAGCTTGGCGCCCACACTCAGAGCTGTGTGCTGCCTCACGCCCTGCGGCAACACCTCGCAGTAGTAGTCGTCCGCATCCTCCCGCGTCACGCCCGCAATGCGCAGCGAGTTGTTCTTCATGACCTCCACCCGATTGTTGATCGCACTCTGCCCGGTGGCCAAGAGCGTGGTGTTCTTGTACCACAGCGCAATGTTCTTGACTGAAAGACAACTCCCATGAGTTACGTAAAACATAGCTGGCATAGCTCACACATACTTTGAAAGTTGCGCGCATCACAGTTGATGGTCACATCGTCGCCCGGCCTGGCCTGAATACTGACGTCAGATTGATCGAAGTAGGGCGGCAGGCTCTGCACATCCTCCACTATCTCAGCCGGCGGCCCCTCTGGACTCGTCGCGTCGTCATCGCCATCGTAGTCGTAATCGTCGTCCTGGTACTCCGGCACAGTGCTGTCCTCCTCGCCAATCGGTGACGCACGGCAGAGCTCTGAAAGCAAAGGCGAGAACGAGAGCGAAAGTCAGTTTAAGAGGGAGACCAACCAACAGCGAGTCAGCTTTGTATGTAGGTGAGTCGTGAGTCATGTTCGAGTTGTTAACTCTCGAGTGTACAACATATTTACATTACTTGTTGACATGGGGTGGCTCTTAATTGGAATTGATAAAACTCACACCCCATCTCACGGTACTGAGAACCAAGAACCAAGAACCAACAACAAGTTCGGGTCATATGATCTACAGCTCTACAGAGGAAATCGACTTGCGAAAACGGCGACAAACAGAGCGGAACCAATCGCTGAGCAAATAACACCTACAGAGATATCTATAGTTGGCCAGGAAGTGCAGGTATTACGCTATAAGCTCATTCGTGACTTGGTCACGAATAACCTCGACTCTAGATGACTTTTATTTCCTGTCTTGGCTGTAAATATTTCATACATTTGTCATACAATATTGCTTAATACTGCCAATTGCTGCCCATTTATCTAATATAATTAATCCTAGCCACATGTATCCTTTGCCTTTTCCATTCATACTAATTATTCCCGCTCATCTTAAGTAATTAATTTCCTTTAAGCATGTCTCATTCTTGATGATTAATGCTCTTAGTTTTATTGACTCTATGACGCTGACGACATTCTCTCGGAGACAACAAATTACTCACTGAGATGAGTTCGTCTAGAAAGAGTTGCGTTGAACAGGTTGAGGCTCTTTATTTAATGAATTAACATGAATTTTAGAGTTCATTAAAATGCTAATAAAATTGCGAAGTAATGAAATTGACGATAAATAAATAAATAAATATTTATATGTCTAAATAAATAAATGAAT